GCAACACAGACAGTAGTGCTAAAAGTGAAGAAAACTGTCTTCGAGCCTTTCGTCGCCTCCTCCATGAGCCCCACTTTCTTTTTTCGCTCCCCCTCCTCGGCCACTATCGCTAGCATGTTTGAGCGGGCGGGGTGGAGGGGGGAGAAGGAGGACGGGGAAGGAATGGGGCTTCCGATGTAGTGATGAACCACAGGGAGGGGGGAAAAATCGCCCCCATCCAAGAAACCACCCTGGATCCGTCTATGCTGGAGAAAAAAAATGCACGACGACTTTTCATTGAGATTCTGGGAGTATCCCAATAACATCACTATAACAGGTGATACTCACACGCTGATAGCCCGAGCAATCTTAGTGTTCTCGGGGTTTTTTGGAAATCGTGGTGTTGCCTGAACATAACACGTAATTCAAATTAGCAGAATCGTGAAAAAAACCGAGTTGTTTTGGTGAATGCTTGACGAGCTAATATTCAACAAACAGCAGTAAATTTCAAATCAGCTTGAGCCTTGTTAAAGTGCTTCTCTCTCGGAAGATACGTTGAGCTGGTAAATCTATTCAAGGGACAGAAGCACATTATAATTTCCGTCGTGTTCAGCCGAAAGTTTTTTTTTAAAAGGCAAAATTTACATTCTTCTACATTTTCCAGTGAAAAGGATGTGACGAGAGTTTTGCTGGTTTGTTTACTACCCGCTGTGACTTCAGGCGGTTTTTAAAAAACATTCATCCAGATATAAATGAAATTATTTGAAATTTGCCGACACATACAGCAATGTGCGCAAGAAACGCTGTACGACATGTTTTCGCAGAAAACTGCTGCATGGGCGCATATGCTAAATGAATGTGTAAGGGTAGAAAAAACTTCGTAGCTGTCCCTTGCAGAAGCCAGCATAACTGACCAGCGGAAATCGAGATTTCAGTTTTTGAACCGTAATATCAGCCTATATTTGTAAAAGGCTGCCAAAATTCCCTGTTCACAGCTCGATTCTCGTACAGTACTGGTTTCTACCCAGCGTGGAAATAAAGCAGTATAAAACTTGTTTCTATCGCTTCTTGCATTATCGCGAGCTGTATATTCAAAACTTCAGCTTTTTATTTTTGTAATCCGTGAATGGAATTATCCGGACAGAAATGTAACAATTCAATTTAAAATTACCCCTCCACTTGTGTTATTCATTCTCTACGAGGCTCTCGAAGGCAGGGAGACTGTCGATTGCTTCCATTCTTTCGAGGATTGCTGCGAAGTTGATAGAGGGTTTGAAGCTGCAGCACCCATGCTAGTAGAAAGATGAACGCCTATGACGATAAAGCATTTCTAATTTATGCAAAAATGAGTCAAAAATAATTCGAAACCGATCATTTTACTGAACACAAATGTACTGGACAGATTCAGGTTTTGAAGCCTACACAGAGAAAGCTAAAAAACAAGTCATAATCCTCTAAAAAACCTACAAAAATATGTTGTTTCAATAAATCAGTAAAAAGTTCCAATACATTGTGTTGTCCGTAAGCGTCATCATTATATCAACTACTGGTGAACACAAAGTACAGTTCAATCCAAGGCAAATTTCAGAAAATTAAGCGAAAAATTATTAACATGAAAAAAAAATATATGTTCCTGTTGATACTGAATCAATGGTATTCGGAGGGAGCACGAATTATAAATCCAATATAATTTTTGAAAAAACCACGACTCATCAAAACTTTACGAATTTCAAATTCATAATTCTGGAACAGTTAAAAGGCCTGGCATAACTGCTGCGCTCGGCGTTTGAATGCATCCCAGTAACATCTAAGATCGGATCCACAAAATCTACTGTCTAGACAGTATTGGCTTTCTTTTGTAAAAGCATAATATGTTAGTACCCAGTGTTTCACTCCTAATCCGTTACCAGCTTAAAGATGGTGGTAATTTCCCTATAGCTAATTTCGACGTTGAAACGGTAGAATTTTTAGTATTTTGTAAAGCTAAACTGCATTTGGCTTACCTAAAAGGCCGTTGGAATAGGCAGAATCATCGACAACGACTTTTGTCTGTAGATTCTTGTTAACTCTACCACCTCAATCCTGAGACAAAAATACCTCGGCTGCAGCGAGAGTTTAAATTTGTTAAAAGTATGCGCAAAAGTTCGTTACAGAATTAAGTTTTGGTGGTCCAGAATGAGTTTCTTTTGGCGCAAGAAATAAAAAGAAAACAACGCTGAACGTTCTCTACCTACATCCTCTACTTCCTGCTGTGTTTTAAGGATAAACACATTTTTCAAGAAAGTGTGCCGTTTAAAGTTATCAAAAGAGACAGAAATGCAACAATCGGCGGTCGGATTTGTGCGGATGTGATTTTTTATGACGTTTCTAATCCGGATTTTCCAAGATTAGCAATAATATCAAATTGCAAGCAAACAGCAATTTTGTACATTCCATAACTGATCCTTTTCTGGGAATTAATTTCAGCGTGGCTCAACTGAAGAAAGCTCCAAATTTCTCCTACCCGAAAGGAACCCCTAACTTTCATCCAAAAGAGGATCGCAACCCAAAATCTTTGTCTCATCGTTTACCCGATCTCTAGGGCATTCCAATTAGACGACAATAAAGCAGGCTTAAATTGTTTCCCACCTTTCTTTAATTCTTTCCTCCCAACTCCTTACCTCCCTTCCCTGCATTCCGACAGTCACCTATTCGCGTCGTGTAACAAAACTAACATAAACAGAGCAGTAACTCGCCAGAAAAGGCTACAAAAAAGGGCAATAAGTCAAAATGGTTGGATGGACGGCTGCTGCTGCTGCGCTCGATTATCCACAAAAAAACAGCTAATGACCATGCCTCCCACGCCCCGTCTCTGTTCGCGTCCCTCCGAGCTCGACCCATTACATTGAGCAGCTTCTTTGTTCTGAAGTCGTCGTTGTTGTTGTCGCACCTCCAGCTCCACAACTAAGCCAGCAGCTATTCGTCGGCCGCTCCTCTTCTACAATTAATTCCAGCAGTACACAACAAACACAACTGTAAAAATTTGATCAGACATCCAGAAACAGATGTTGCACTGTGCAAATTTTCTAGCCCGAAACAAGCAGTTCAAATATCACAGAAAAAAAGACCCGAATTAGCTTCTTTTCCGTAAAAGGATTTACGTTTGATCTTCGGACCAGAAGAAAAAAAAATTTTAGTGATAAAATATATGCATAAAATTTTTTATCAAAATTAATATTCAGTTGATCAATTGAACCAGGAATGTTTCGGACCACTAAGCCTCGGATTTGAAGACTTAAAATCGATTTTAATCGAAATAAACACTAATAGCCCGGTCAATCTTGGTATTTGTGTAAAAATTTTCTAGTTCCTAGTGTATGAGCGGAAATTTTCTTGAAATTTCATGATGCTGACCTAATTTAATATGGGCTAGTAGGTGAGGTGCAGCTGGCGCATTATCAGTGTTGTTATTGTTGCTGCTGTTGCTGTTGTTGCTATTGTTATTACTGTTATAGTAGTGTGGTAGTGATGCCATGCCACCTCGCCACATATTGAACGTTGTTTGCAAATTACCATCGTAGAGCTGCACTTCGTAGCCAAACAGTCGACATCCATCACCGTTCATCTACAACAAATATAAATTTCTGGAATACAGGCAGTGTCTGTAATGGCATTAACTCCTTCCATCCTTTTCCGTGCATCACAAAATTATCAAAACCCTGAAAAAATTGGCGTACTCTTTGCGACTTGTGGTACCAGATACTGGCAAGTTAGGGGTCAAGACTATGTGAGCGAACAGATCGAAATTTAGCAGAAAAAGCATTAAATTCAGCTCATTGTCGAGAAAATAACCGATAGCCGATTTACAAAGGTGAAGGATTACGAGTCACGGGATAAAAGTGATAGGACAATGAGGGGGAAAAAGCGCCGTTTATTAACGTATCGAATTTTGGGTAATCTTCATCCTTTTCGGTTTGCGCGCTCTTTTCCCGCAACCCACTCCTTCCCCCTAACGTCCTCTTTTCCTGAAACCACTATCTTTTCCCCAATTCCCACCCTTTTTCAAAGGCGCGTTTTTTTTCGGAAAACGTCTTTCCTTCCTGAAAGGCAAAAATGAAGGTAAAATGTGACCTGATCGAGAAATCGAATATAATCAGCTGCAATTCGAAGGGTATGAATTTTGCTCATTTTATCGGACGGTAGCGATGGGACAATTCGCCGTAGAATCGCGAATGCATCGTTCAACTCCTTAGTCCGTTGACGCTCACGACGATTTGCCGCCACACGTTGTTGCAGCGCTTCTTCAGGATTACTACCGCTCTATAATAAATGCATTTCAAACTGAAATAAGGACGTATTTTTAATTATGCGTTTTTTGCAGCAATGCAATGCGAAAAACGCACGTTGACGAGAGGTTGTCTGTGTGTGCGCTGCGCGTCTCTACCGATTTTTCATCTCGAGACCCACAAAAGCTACAGGGCT